GGCACCAGCCTTGTAATGGGAAATCTGAGATCTAGTTGCAAGCCTGCCAAAGGCTTTCCTTCTCAGCTCTCCTGCCTGCAGCTGTGGGGCCAGGACATTTATATTGTGTTTGCCTCAGGGACAGGTTAGAACTCCAAGTTCAAAAAAATCTGTAAATCTCTTGGAAAGCAGTGGTGAGAAAAAGGCAGAAGTGCAATGCATCATCTGCTCATCGAGAACTTCTCCAGTGTTAGATAGCTTTGAAGTGGTCCACGAGAATCGGACAGGTCATACTAAGGAAGCACTCTAGAGAAAGCCTGGATGTTTATGTACCAATATCAAATATAAACATGTTATTATTAGCACATTTAGTTGAGATAATGAAGTTGAAAATGTAACGTGGAAGGGAGGCATGGTGAACGCCTGCTTCGATGTAGAAACACAGAACTGGTAAAGATTCCTTCCCCCTGGACTGATGTATGACCCACAGCCATACACAGCAAAGGGAAAAATGCTGGGTGGGTCTTTGGCTTAATGTAGGCAAGGTCAGGAGAAAGCCCCCCTGTTGCTGGGGGCTATACATTCCACCGGGGAGATCCTCCATTCAGATGGAAGCGCTTTTGGACACAGCTGGCCAAACTGAGAGAGCTGGCAACTCAAACAGCAATTGCTGAGGCTGGACAGGCTGATCAAGAAATTGAATGATAGACCTGACAAGAAGGTTGCAAAAGGCAATCTCTTACCAGTCATTTCCCACCAGACTTTTCTAGAGAAGGACAGCGAATTCTATATAGAGGCTTCTGGTGTACTTATAGGGGAACTGAAGGTAACGAGGGGAGAAAATCCTATTGTCAGTAAATTTAAACTGTCTACACAGTTGCCAGGCCTCAGGCACTTGTTGATTTCTGAATGATCTGTCACTCCTCCTGAAATGGCTGAATGAAGTGTGAGGTTTAGAACTCATTTGCAAAATCTGTATATTTTTGCTTTAGTTATATTATACTCCTGTGGAGGCAAGCTGTGACTCACAGGTGACTTGTAAACTATAAGGATGGGCCTCCAAGAAGAGTCAGAAAAAAACCCCCAAACATTGAAGAGAAAGAAATAAAGGTAAATTCCTCCTGTGCAGGGTGCAATAGCACCATAACCCATGGTCCCAGGGAGAAAACTGCTTTTTCACCTCTGTCGACCTTTCCAGAAAGGACAGGTCTCCTGTATTCTAGGCCATTGTTTTGATGGACGCTGCTCTATAAAACTCATAGTGGTTTGGGGGCTGGGCATGATAGGAGGTCCCCTCTTCACCTGAAATCAGTCCATGTTAAAAAAATGCTATGGTGGTGTGTTACATCCACGTTTTATGAAAATATAAACATCAAATGGATATGCACAGCAGTGTAGCTGGAGGGAACAGACAGATGGTCAAATGGACGATGGCCAAAATTAAGTAATTTTTACCTTTTCCCCCCCCTGTATTTCCTTCTTCTTTTTATTCACCAATCTGAAAAAACGATTATATTCTTTATCTAAAATTACTTTGTTAACAAGCAAAATGAAAAAAAGAAGTATGTTACAGGACACAATTTCAATACACATTTCTGAGACTCCCCTGCTTCCTTTATTCCTAAACACTGTAAACATACCCTGCTATATTTACATGCAACGATAGCAACCTGAGGTCAGTGCTTAAAAATAAACCAAATAGGAATTGCAGCATGCGCGTGCACAACAGACATACCAACCGATAGTAGGGGCTGAAGAGATGACATTAGGGGAATATTGTCCATTATGTTTGTTTGGTTTTAATCCAAATTGTTAAAGCACGAGGTGCAGAGGGTTATGCAAAGTTTAGTTTAGGTTCTTTTTTTTTTTTAATAAATGCAACAGTAATTATCACTGAAGCAACTGGACACAGTCGCCACATTACATTCTAGATGAAGTAGCCAGCACTCTTTTCCAAGGGTAAACACATACCTGGCTATCCCTATTTTGAGCATATCCAGTCAGACCCCAAAAGCATCACCTCCCTAGTTACAGGTGCCCCTTGCCCTTTGCCATCCCTCTCTCAGAACCTAAGATTTTGTTCTGTGGAAATCTGTGACTAAATTGCAACAGATTTGCGGATGGATAGGAGCATTACGTGTCCCCTGGGCCTCTGAAAAGCAGATGGCATTAAGGTATCCCGAAGGCAACAGATATCTACAGTTGCTATAAGGGAAATGTGCATATATGCATAAAAGAAGAGGCAGTAAAGAGTAAGTAAAAATGTCAAAGGCTTTTTAGTTATCAGCATATTGGTTATTATTATCTCTTAAATTCTCTTGTGTGACAAAACAAAGATTTCAGGTTTACTGCTGCATTTTTCCCTTATGCACTGAAGAACTCAGAATTTTTAATTAGTGCTTTTATACAGTTCTTTATGGCTTTTCAATTTAGGCACCTGCATCAAATTAATTAAGACAGAACGTAATGGTTTCTCTGATGCAGTGTTGCACAATGCCAAGCACCAAGCTTTATAGCAAAAGGAAAACAACTGCATCATTCACAGAAAAACTCTAGATTTCCTTGCAGAAGGTAAAGCAGAGACTGCAGGAGATGGCATACAGCAAACAGAACAAAGGTGCAAAGTTTATTTTGCTTACAAACCCAAACATCAAGTGATTTCTAGTCATATACCAAAGGAGATATGAGCAGAATGGGCAACAGTGGGAGCTTTTGTGGGTTTTGAAAGAGCATGAGTCAAATACTTAAAAATCAGCATTTCAGCTGCTGGAAAGTTGCCTACGTGGCAGTAGGCAGTAGGAAATTTGCCCATCCATGAGCTCAGTAGCAAAAACAAGCTCTGGTGCACATGAGTGTTTGATGAGATTAAAGCTCACAGCCCATGGCTCAGAGGAAGTGTCCAGGTCCCACAAGTGCTATTGCGATAAACTATTAATTATGTACAAATACAGCACTGATGCTACTGCATGCATTTTGAAACACAGCAGTTCCCCAAAGGGAGTCTTATCTCATTGGTTTTTATATCCCTCACAGACAGAAGTTTCCTTGGCACCTTGAGAGGAATATATAATCCAGGGGTCTGCTTCTCTGAGTAACTTTCCTTCCTGACTCCTCAAGACGGCTCCTGCCCAGGGCCGTACACCTCCTACTGCAGAATAGCCAAGGCGTATTGCTGGTCCTACCAAAGGCACTTACTGTGTGGCCAGGCAGTAGAGGAGGCTGGAAAAGACCAAATGTGCAGGTCCATATATTTTTCAATAGCAAAAAATAAACCTACAACAACTTAGCAGGATATCGCTAAATAAAAAAGAAACCATCTACAGGGCAACCACGATAGAGAAATTGGATTGTAACAGAGAAGATCTTGATAAAAACATATGGGGAGTTTTCACTAAATTATTCAATATAGGAGTAAGCAAATCACGCTTTATTGGCAGGTCACTGTTCAATTAACCTTTAAAAATAGCCGTATTTATTAATTTGTTTTGTTTATATAAATGTTAACATAAGATAGATTAATACATTGTCTGAATTAGAGGACTAAAACTGCTCCAGTTTAAAGTAAGTATTTGGTAAATCACTGGTGCAGTAATACATGCAGTTATTAAATGCCCTGAAGTCTGACCAAAAGCCAGATTAAAAATTTACCAATAGAAAGAATGCCTGTGAATTTCAAATTACGTTAATATTTATGATTTCAGTGACTAAATAAAAGAAATTACCTCAAAAGTTGTATGCAATTTTAACCTACTTGTCTCTACCTTAGGTAGCATTTACATTTATACCTATATCTATCTCCCTTTTAGTGCTGAACTGCCTGAGTAATTATTGTAGCAGCAGGTAAGTGCCTAAAAATGCAGCAGTGACTTCTAGTGAGGGTGTTAAATCCTTCTCAAAATCATTCAGATATACCTTAATTTCCACTATGCAATAAGGCAACACAACTCACGTGCACAGTGAAACTGTTTTCAAGGAAATATAAACTAGAGTAAACCTGCTGTGCATTCACCATCACCAAAACCTCATCTGAAAGCGAGGAAAAAAAATGAGGCTTACGTCCCCCTTTATTCCTTCTCACCAATATTTCAATTTTCAGTTGAATATTGGAGTTTGGGACGTGGAAGTACCATATTAATGACAAGACAGAGGTGGGGAGTATTGGAAACCTCCCAAGCGTAGCTGTGTTAGCAGCACAGCAAACTCAATTTTATATATGCAGAAGTATTTGTAGTCTAAACGCAAATACTTCAAGGGGCTTTTAGGAAAAGCTGCTCATGCTGGTAACCACACACCAAATTATCTCTAGGTAAAGACACAGGCTTGTGCATTATACAGGAAGATTACAAGAAGCTCCAGTACAACTCTAATAAAGGTGGGAATAAACTAGTACAGAGAAGAGTGATCGCAGAAGTGCATTTCCCCAGTATGGAAAAAATAGCCTTTGAGCACCAATTCACATAACTCACTAATCAGTGGTTGCTCCTCCATCGAAATGATCTTAGCTGGATCTGAACTGAAGCTTCCATTTCTCCTATCATTTCATCAAGCCAGTATCCTTTCTCGTGCAGAAATCCTGGAAACAGAAACCACTCAGTCACTTCCATGAGTGTAGCTATGCTTAAGGAAGAATAATGAAAACTAGGTGCTGGGAAATGTAAACAAACGATGCATCACTTTCTCGCCCAGGTACTGCTCTTTGATGACTCCATTCCAAATGTTGTTGTCATTACTCGTCAAAAAGTAGCAAAAATGTCTGGTTGTCAAAGCATGGAATAATTTTAAACCGCCAAATTATTTGGTTAATTCACTGTTGACTATGGCCTACAACAGCCAGGTCTTCTCCTGCAGACAGACAGCGATTCGATCTGAGTTTTGCAGGAAGCACAGCACGTTGCTCAAAGAGGGCAATTTCACTTAAAGCCCAGAAAATGCCTCCTCCCTACATGCCTGCTAACACCAGAACTTCGCTTGCTTTGTGGCCAAAAGCAGCTTGAACCTATAGCAGCAAGCATCTAAACCATTCAAGTGGAGCTATATATTTTTATTGAATGATCACCACTGTCTAATACGACAAGAGAACTGTTTGCCGTGTAAGTCAGTCCTACAGGATAAGATAGCCCGTGGCTAATTAGAGGGTTAAAGATGGGAAACTCCTCAGGTTTCCCTAAGCATATTACGGCCTGGCTACAAATATCTGTTACTATAATACGACCCTCTTTGTCAAAGGCCACAGCCGTAGTATATATTTTGGAGGGGAAAATGAGGTTCAGACCGAAGCTATCCATCTGGCCGATGAGATCCATCTCTGCACTGAATATCTTCACTCGGGTGCTGCTGTTGTCCAGTCCTTGAGCTTTCAAGTGCTCTATCACCACAATAGCACCTGAAGTCTGGGAGACTGCAACCCCTCTTGGGCTGATGAGCTGAGACCGGATCATCTGACACTTCTTTAATTTCCCCTTCCTGAAGTCGGCTGTCAAGCGGTAAAGAGCACCTGCCTCCGAGTCGGTCAGGATTATTTCACTCTCGGGGGTGGCATCCAGGCCCCAGGGCAAACAGAAACCTTCCCGGACAGCCAGGACCCCCCTTCCCTCAAAATCAAAGGCCTTCACGGAGCGGTCCCCGCCATCGGTGACCACCACGTGCCCGTCCGACGTGACCGTCACATCAAGCGGGTACTTGATATCGTTGCCCGCGTCCCCCCGCTCCCCAAACCGCTGCAGGCATGATCCGCTCGGCCCAAAGACGTGGATTTTCTTCTTGCCGTCATGTGCCACTGCCAGCCGCCCCGACCTCCGGCAGGCCGCCACCCCGGTGGGGTTGACCAGCGACCCCCAGCCCCCGAGGGACAGCCGGAGCCCGAGACCCG